GTGTGAGCACGAAGCATTACAGGTGATAATGCAGCTGGAATTCATAATCGTATCCTTCTCAGCAGCAGCACTGCAGGTGCTCTCCATGTCCAAAATGTGCGTAAGCCAGTTCCTTTGTCAACTTAAAGTTGCACACATTTTTCTGCTATGTTTTCTTTTAATAAATCCCAAAGTTTACGTGGAAACTTGCTTACGCAGTTTTCTCACCCCGTTTTGTGTGTAAGCAAGCTTTATAAATGAGGCCCCTGGTCACATAAAAAAAACTGTTGCAAACTAGTCAGCTGTTTGTGTTTAGTGTGATTCCAAGTCAACATTGAGTTTTTTTTACCCATGTTTGTGCCTCCAATTAGTCACCAGTTATGTGAGATTTGGGTCAGAGAGCCAAGTCAATGACAGAAAAGTTAATATTAATAAGGTTTACATGCAGAACACATTTTGTTCTAGTTCTGTCAATAATGTTTTGTTCTTTAGAGATAATTTCTGATCATTACAAGAAAACTGGACCTTTTAAAGTAGCATGCTTCAAATAGGAAAGCGGTTTTACCAGTTTGACCATACCGACACACGTTCATCCTCTGTTTAGGACTAGTGGAGCGTGTTTAGGTGTTTCCCCTCTAATCAGATTCTCTACACAGTAAAACAATTGTGTTGTCATTTAAATTGAGGACTTTAGGTTTAAATAACATGAACTACTGTAGAGGCAGAGGACTGCAGAGCAAAGATAAAAAAAAGCAAATGTTAGGTACCAAACCGCACAAAGTGATGCGTCTCGTCTCTGCCAGAGATTAGGAAAAAACATCTTCTGCACCCTTCTATTATCTTTCCATTAGCGGTCCATTTCTCATTACTACATTGATTCTCTGTGTCCTTGAGGAACAAGAGGTGTCGTTCTGTCATTAGACTTCCGAGCTAGCTCGAGGGAAAGGCCTCAGTCTGGGCCTCGGCCTCACGTTAATAGATGTTTGGCCATTTTGACTCTCTGTTGTCTCCTCTACGTGTTCAGGTTTGGATGTTAATCGTGGAATTATTTGGACACAGATCACCCAAGCAGTTTGTGCTTCTTTTTATCAGTGAGTAAAATTCTATTTCTGTTCTTTATTTTGCTGGTTGAATGGGGGGGGGGGGGGGGGGGGGGGGGGGGATTCTGTGCATTTACCGTAACACTGCTTTGTCTATGATGGGCTGAAATATAACGAGTCGGTGTGGCTGCTGGATAAAAACAAACTAGAGCTACATATCTGAGAAAGGATAGCGGAGGCTATCGAGCTTTGCTGTTCCACCGCGGTCAAAGGTCTGTGAGTGCGCCATTGTCGACTCGGCTCTCGACTCCGTGTCGACACAGCGGGGGACTCGCAGATCTTTGACCATGGTGGAACAGAAAAGCCCGATATCTTCAGTCAGCTTACCTTGTTAAGATTTTGTTACTAAGCAGGACGGAGGTGCATTCACTTTGGAGTTGCTCTACCGCGTTTTTCTAGCTAAAAACACCCAGAAAAACTCAGTTAGCTTCAGGTTAGCATATAGCTAATGTCCCGCTGATCTCTGACCGTGGAGCCTGAGCTGATTTAAAAGGCCACAGCGCCCGGCTACGATCGCAGCAGTTTGAGGCTCTGTTTGTAATTTAACAGTCCCGGTCAATATTCGATTTCCACAGGCGACCAGCATGGCTACAACCTCACACGGGAGCCAGTCGCCCATGCAGGTGGGCTACCCCGGAGCCCTTCTTGGGTTAGCTAAGTTAGCTAGTAGCTACACTGGTTTGTTTGCTCCAACCCTGTTCCAAACGTAACAGCCCCACCCTCAGCTCAACCCATTTTCTCACTATTGGATTAACTGGGCGTGACGAGATGTGTGACACGGTCAAAATTGCTGTGATGGGAACCTCCCATTTGGAAACAAAAACGTATAATTCATGCCTGTGGAAATTAAATGTCCAGTATGTAAATGGGTTGGATGTGCATGAGACGTACAGTCTATGAATTGTGAGAATCCATCAAATGGTTCACGAGGAACATGCACACACAAGCACCAGATGTTCTTTTCAGCTGTGGCTAAGCTAAGCTAACGTTGCTTTGACTGAGCTAAGTTAGAATTACAGAGGTCAATGTGTTTTATCTTCTACAGAGATAAGCTTTTGTATTAGCAAAGCTCATTAAATGACGCGTTTGCTTTGCGTCCAAAACAGATCACTGATTAATAGCCAGCCTTTTCCTAACATTTAGCTGTACTCCTGAGCTGATTGTATTGAGATGTTTTTGTCTCTTTGTGTGTTGCTTTCCTCTCCCTGCAGATGGCAAATAGATCTATTGAGGTTGCCTCAGCAGCCTGCGATGGGATGAATTATGTAACAGCCTGGCTTGGTTATGAAGGCGATGCTGCTGTCGTGACAGCTGATAGCATAACCTCTGTATTTACATAGACTGAGCCCTGTAAATCCTCACTTTGTATGCAGTGTGTGTGACCTGCTGCAGGCAACAAGATGCACTAATGTCTAATGGGCAGCCACAGCAGACAGGTTGATCCAGAGCTGGGAACGGAGAATTCCCTTTTGTTTTGCAGCATAAGAGGCTAGCAAATACATCTTGTCCTATGCATGGAGACGATGCGACTTGAAATTGAAATTTAATGTAAAAGCTGTGTGAAATGTTGCCATTTCCACATTGAAGAAGGGTTGCTACGTCATTTTGTATCCGTATTTGTCCTTTTCTGCATTGTCAGCATGATTTTTGAAAGGCCACAAAGGTAGAGCTCTGAATCACCTTTGTTTGGTGGGTCTGAGCCAGACAAAAACGTAATGAATGTTTCATTTTTCTAGCATTTTAGTGCAACCTGCATGAAAATGACCTTGTTAGCTAGTTTTTCCCATTGGTCAATAACACAACCAGTCATTTTAATGTGTTTTTAGTTAACCCCACTCCTGATTATATGTTTGCCAAAAATCTAAATTCTACAATGTGATCCAATCGCCCCAAATCTCTCTTTCCCTTCTTCTGTCTGCCTCCTTCCTTCAGTGTCTCGCCCACCACCTGATTTGCACTTCAGAGGGGGAAAAGCTAAGCATCTGCCTGTTACGAGGAGCCGAGGGCGCTCTGTAGAGCTGTGTTAAGTAATAACAAGCAGTGACGTCAAAGGTTTTCCATCTGAGCTAGAAAAAAATGGGGGGGGGGGGGGGGGGGGGCATGGAAGTGGTTCAGTGTGAGAGAAATCTCATGTTTGTGCTTCTGCTGCTAAGGAACATCGTTGCTATAAAATCATTCAAGACAATCATAAACTTTATAACAGATTTTTTCTTCTGTCTCTTCTGAACAGGAATCAGAACCAAAGCAAAAGATGATTATCATGCTATTGTGGAACGTTGTTCTGCAAGAGGACAGAATCTGTTCACATGATGTCAGGATGGGATCACATTTTGTGTATTACAGTGATATAGGTCCTGCACCAAATGTCACTTATGCAACTTTAATTTTAAGGTGACCTCCATTTAAATGAAAACTGAGTTATCTTGCAATCTTAAACGTTTGTTTCTGTTCCCAGCAAAAACCCGGTGGGTCCCTGTTACACAAATAAAGCCCTAACCTTGTGCTGTATTCTTACAAAATAAGCAGCAATCGTTGGTGATGTGAACTCAAGTTTTTTGCTACATTTTTAGTCACGGATCACAAACGGTGATGGTGAACGGTTAGATATTTGGTCTCTAGATTCTGTCATAAGCAGAAGTGTTAGGTGACTGGGAGTGGTGGATACTTAAGTCTCTAATGATTAGCAGATTAGACCCTAAAGCAGACTTAACACACCACCTTAGGACTACTGACCTTACTGTTTGTTGCCATAGCAAACACAGATGTGTGTATGAGCTTAGAGAAATAGCTTAAAAAGCATATAATAGGTGACTGACAATGCTAATGTGTTATAGATTATGAATGTGACTATAAGCAGTGGTGTCAGCTCCTCAGCTGACGTGTTTCCTCTGGGTTTGGTCCTGAGAGCAATTTCCAACAAGCACTTGACTGCTTGGCAAGTTTAAATGCTTCAAGGACGTCTAAAACCAACTTGTTTCCACTCCACTTAAAGTTTTTGTGTAAACAAAAATAAGACTAGGAACACATTCGTTTCAGAGACAACAAACCTATCACAATTAGACTTCCTGTTTTAAGTCTCCATGTCTGTGCTGTTCTAGCAGCCTACTGTCCCTTTAAATAAATTGTCAATCTGTGTAATTTTACGTTTGGTGCTGAAGTGACCGGCTCTATTCAGCGCGCGCCTTCTTATCATAAACCTATTTGTGTTTGAGCTCCCCTTTAAATTGGGCAACAGGGTGCGTTGAGCCGAGCAGTGACGTGGGCAGCCTACATCAGCACCTTGGATACGGCAACGCCATTCACCGTGGGGCTCCTGCTGCGGTCTCCACCAATCAGCGCCTGTGTTTTCTAGCTAGCGCCCAGCACCGCCCACGCTGCTGTATCGTTCCGCTGTAGGGAATCTCCTCTCAGGCAACGCACGTAAGCTCCATTAAATGTCCCGCAGTTTCCCCAGGCACAATGCAGCTCGAGTTTCGTCATAGAAATGAGGTGAAAAATCGCCTTGAAATAGCATTTTTAAATGATTCGGTGAGTGACATAAAACGTACAGAAATTACAAAGAATGGGGAGCTGTCTTCCTGCGATTAGACGGCGTTTATCACAATATCTCCTGAAGCTATTCCCACGACCCCACACACCTTTTTAACACAATGTAAGTCGTTTCTGCCTTCTCATCAATTACTTTTGCTTTTCGCTGTCAGCACCAGACCTAGGTTATCTCTGACGCAAACCCTCAGCACAGGCGTTTCTCCTGTTTCTCAGAATCATGTCTATGATTGACAGCAGGAATTAGCCAATGAGCGCACGACTCTGGCAAAAGCTGGCGTATAGCCAGCCAATAGGATTATTTTGACCTCTGAAACCGGATCACAGCCTGCCTCGTGCCAATGGCGGAGGGAAGCTATAAATACAAGGAACAGCCGAGCAGAAGGGGACGAAGTTGCGAAACTCCCGAGTAGGAGGGAGCTACTCTGCAAGCCTGCTGAGCGAGGAAGAAACAAAACGCTGAAATAAACTTATAAATAATAATAAAAAAACCGAAACTGAAGCAAATCTTCAACGCCAATCCTCCAAAATCTACATGTACTGGAATACTTTTTTGTAACGTTGCTACTATTTTCTCTGTGAAGAAAGTATTTTTACTTTTTTTCTATTTGCACTAATTAACGGTACTTCATAACTACTGAGAATTTTTATTTTTTCAAAAACAAGTAAGTACTACTCGCTGTTTTTACGATTTCGGTGTCTTGTGTGTTTGCGTGTTCGTTTTTCTACTCTTTAAGCTAAATTTGCAACGTGTGTCGAAGAAGTCAGGGATGGGTGAATGTAGATAAATGTCGAGATTATTTCGTTTTCCGGAAATTAAATAACAAAAGAATAGTTCTATGCGTTTGTTGAGATGACTGCACTTTATCGCAGCTGAAAATGTCCACCCCAGTTAGAACAGGCTGTTATTTTTGTGGTTTTTGCACAAATTTTACGATTAAAGACACGATCTGACCCAAGATGAGCTGTCTCGGTTCAACAAAAGGAGACGTAAGATATTTTCAGGTGGATTTTCACACGTTCTTTCAAATTAGGGGATTATTTTAGCACTCCCCGTTTTACAAAATCATCTAAATTGGGGTTTGATATGCAAATAATGTCATTTTTCTGATTTAAAATGGCAAAACTTGCATATAGAAAGAGCTTTAAGGCGTATTTCGACATTATCAGTGTGTAATCGCTAACCCTGAGAGACTAATCGCTGCTTTACGCCTAGAAAACAACCCCGTGACTGGGTTGTTACGCTTTGAGGTCCACCCCCTGATCATTTCCTCATCAACTAACCCACAACTTGGAGTTATTGACAAGGCCGTGTTAGGGCTGCTGGTAATTAAAGGCAGTAACCCTGCAGTACTTTTCCTCTCTCCTGCCTTATGGAGGCAGCCTAATGGCCTATTATGTAAGAGGATTCCCAGTTCTGGTGTGGGTTAATGTGTGATCAACAACAACAAAGCACCGGGATGACATTATTCACTCAGGATTAGCTGCATTTTCTACTTGACAGACCAGATTCTTCTTGTTTTCACCTGCTGCAAACATGCATCCTTTTAAGATGTTATTTGACTTACAGTGTCCTCTTTGTCTGATGATCTTTGCAGGAAAAAAGTGTATGTCACACCCTGTGGAAGGACGCCACTTTTACAAAACCAGCACTTTTTGATTTCACCCCGAGTCCCTGCTGCTTTCGACGCCCAGTCTGTGTTGCCAAACACGGATCAACAAAGCAGACCCAGTGGACGCGTTCAAGGTCACACACAGCTAATCTCCACGCACCTGGATCACTTCAGCAGTTCGCTATGCAGCTTGAAATCCAAGTAGCTCTCAACTTCATCATCTCGTACCTGTACAACAAACTGCCGAGGCGGCGGGTGAACATTTTTGGCGAGGAGCTGGAGCGGCAGCTGAAGCAGAAATATGAAGGACACTGGTACCCGGACAAGCCATACAAGGGCTCAGGATTCAGATGCATCCACGTGGGGGAGAAGGTGGACCCTGTAGTGGAGAAAGCAGCCAAAGAGAGTGGGCTGGAAATTGAAGACGTTCGCAATAACCTGCCCCAGGACCTCAGCGTGTGGATTGACCCATACGAAGTGTCCTACCAGATTGGCGAGAAGGGGCCGGTCAAAGTGTTGTTCGTCGACGACAGCAGCGAAAGTGGAGCTGCTAACGTAGGGCTGGATTTGGACAAAGAGATCAAGAACAGCTTCAATCCTGATGCGCAGGTCTTCATGCCCATCAGCGAGCCTGTGAACGGCGTGTCTCCGGGTTCCAGCTCTCCGTCTCCCCCTTTTGGCCACTCTGCGGCGGTCAGCCCCACCTTCATGCCCCGCTCCACTCAGCCTTTAACCTTTACTACCGCCACCTTCGCAGCCACCAAGTTCGGCTCCACTAAGATGAAGAGCAGTGGACGCAGCAGCAGCAGCAACAACAACAACAACGGCGGCAGCAGCGCTGGGAACAAAGTGGCGCGTAGCTCTCCCACCAACCTGGGCCTGAGTGTGAACAGTCTTCTCAAGCAGAAAGCCATCTCCACCTCCATGCACTCGCTGTACGGACTGGGGCTCGGAGTGCAGCCGCCGCCGCAGCACCAGAAACCCTCAGCCCTGTCCCCCAACGCCAAGGAGTTCGTGTTCCCCAGCCTGCAGGGCCAAGGCAGCCAGAGTGCTCTGTTTCCTGGGGACAGCCCACTCAGCCTCGCCTCACTGCAGTACAGCAATGCCTTTGATGTGTTTGCGGCCTACGGTGGCCTTAACGACAAGTCCCTCATGGATGGCTTGAATTTCAGCTTAAGCAACATGCAGTATTCTAACCAGCAATTCCAGCCAGTTATGGCCAACTAGTACACGTACAAGGTACTACTTAAGCTACTACTTCATACAGAAACGACCAGACGTAAAGTGATGGTGGAAACAAATGCACATTTTCAAAAACAACAAAAAAAAGTGTAAACATAAACAGAATGTCAAAGATAAAAGGAAAACAGTGACTTGTAACCTGTAAGATCCCCGTTTCAAGTCTAAGAGCACGAGCCCGAGGGTGAAATATGACGCCCCCTTGAGTTAAACTTGTTTCTTCTGCTGTTTTTTTATTATTTTATTTTCATATTTTTTTCTTAAATATTGAAGCTTGTAGTACAACTTGTCCAAGCTTGGTTACCTAAACTTCAAAATTCATTATTTGTTTTGACAACCAAGCACAAAATATTTTTTTTACGCAACTGTTTTAAGATACAAAAAAATGGTAAAAAAAAAAATAAAAAAATAAACACCACCGCAAGTCATGGCCTCTTTCAGTATTTAAATATAACTGGACATTGCCAGTTTTTCAAGAAATTGGCTTGAATAAGTGGAATTTCCTGGTCTTTTTCTAATTGTATAATTTAATTTAGTACAGAGTTTGTAAAATATCAGAGTATCTATTGTTTCTACTACATGGTATTGCATTTATATCTTTTTACTACTCCAGTGATCTGTGATGGCTGCAGCGACTTTGTTTTCTTTTTTTATTAAAATTATAAAATGAATCCATCTTTAAGAAGAATACATCAACTATCCTAAAGATTGTGTACAGAATATTCCGTAGTGGTGGGATTTAAGAATATTTGCTTCTTTTTTTTGAGAAAAATAAAAATGAGTTGTATTTTCTGTTAAGAGTTGAAAGATTTTTGCTATAATATGGACAAAAATGTAATCGTATATTAATTTTGTACCTACATTGTGCAATACTTGATAAAACAAACGGTATAACAAAGTATTCTGAGTCAGTGTCTTACATGTTAAGAGGGACTGATTAGTTTATTAAGTTTGTATTAAAAACGCTTGAAAATAATCACCTTTGGTCACTTTGTTGTGTTTTGGGAGGTTTGCTAAACACGCTGAGGCAAAACTTCGTTTTTTTTTTACTTTTAAATCAGGTTTTTCCTGACTCATCACCAGTTTTTCAGGAACAAATCAGCTCTCTGCAACAATTCACCCCCTGGTCTGAGTGTCAACACACACCCGGTTAGTGGGATTGTGACCAGTTTAGCCTGAAATCCTCCTGAACTCAAAGGATAATCGCAGCCAGCGGTCGTTTTTAGATGTTTCTGGGAAAAATAAAAACAGATGCAATCCTATATTTACTAACTGCAAAACATTTCATCATGCTAAAGATAATTATCTGTTCACTCAGCTCTTAGGAAGGTTCTGGAAGCTAGCATGAGACTACAAAGTTGCTTAATAGCTAATAATTAAATCTACGTTCAGAGTAGTTGAGTTACGTCCCACCCAGCGTCCCCGGCCGTGTGGCCTGCAAATGGATAACTTGAGGGATCTGATTTATGTGGTGGAATATGATCTGGATCTGTGCAATCAAGGACAGATTTCAGAGTTAAAGCTTGATTTAAATAAAACCCAGATAGATGTAAAAACATGCAGAAGCTTCATCATTTAAGGCTTGGACAGAATAGGAGTTGTTCATGGTAGTTGGCGTGCAACTTAAATTGAAAGGAAAATCACACTTGATGCTAAATAAAAGATGAAAAGCAGCTTTAGGGCATGGTGATGTCGGGTTATGGGCTGTTTGTGCTGCAGTGGTTGTCTGAAATCACCCTGACCCTGCTGGCACTTCCAGAGTCCCTGTGGAGCTGTCCCATCATCACTCGTCCGTCCGTCTCTGTGTCCTCTGATACACTCCGGGCCTGATAGGGCTGTGTAAAGTTCAGCCTGTGTGTGCGTTTATCTGGAGCTGCTGATACAGCCTCTGGTGGGAGTGTGTTTGTTTATCTTGGTCTGCAGTGCTGTGTTTGTGTGCACGTACGGCTGTCTGAGTGAAAGTCTGCAGGACAAACGAATAAAGTAAAAATAGCTGAACTGGTGGGTAAATCGCATGTTGCACACTTAATTGGTGAACCGAATGTTTTTATTTCTAATTCTTCTGTTGCCTCGTTGCTGCAACACAAGGCTGGGACGTTCAGCCGGGGTAACTGGAGCAGAGTGGAGTCACACACATCAGCTCTGCTGTTAAGCTACACACGGCGGCAGCTAACACGACACATCTGAGCTTAGACCTCTGAGCTGGGGTGAAAGAGACTAAAATCTAGATTATGGAAGAAAAAAGTCCTCAGAAATATGTTTGTGTGCTATATTTAAGGAAAAATGAGTGATTGTTACGTTATATTGGAGAGCATGCATGGTGGTGAAATTGGCAGCACTTTTGGCATGCAGATAGAAGGTTGCAGGTCTGAATCCCGGTTGCAGCATTTCTGTGTGGAGTTAGCTTGCTAGCTTCCTCTTACAGAACAAAAACATGTCTATCTTTATGTGTCTTATCTGATGACATGTCCAGGGTGTCCCCTGCCTCCCTCCTGATGGCTGGTGCTTTAAGCCCCGGCCACACTCGGCCATCCTATGGTAAATGGCCTGTATTTGATATAGCGCCTTCTAGAGTCCTGGAACCCCCCAAGGCGCTTCACAACACAATCAGTCATTCACATTCACACACTGGTGGGGATGAGCTATGATGTAGCCACAGCTGCCCTGGGGCGCACTGACAGAGGCGAGGCTGCAGAGCACTGGCACCACCGGTCTCTCCGACCACCAGCAGCAGGCAACGTGTCTTGCCCGAGGACACAACCACAGTGACAGACTGAGCGGGGCTCGAACCTGCAACCTTCCGATTACACTTAACTCCTGTGCCACTGTTGCCCACTGTCCTAGACAGATGTCTCATCGTGAACAGAGTCATGACTAAAAGCACGGTTTGGAAGTCTGCGGTCGTTCTGTAGTCGGACCAATGAGAGCTTACTGAGTACGCTCACAACCAAATTCAGTGTCAGAAAACCTTTGACTTCAGTCTGCAACCAATCAATGAAAATACACCCAGGGAGTGACGCAAACAACTAGGGTGTTTCTGAATCTCAAGGCGCCTGGCCTTGCAAGGCGATGTGTTGCGAGGCGAGGTGCCTTGCTTATGAGGACACTGTCCTTCCTTGGTCAAAGAAAACGGTTAAATGGAACAGACTTGCATCACGTGACTGCAGCTTCCACGGTGGTCACGTAACGTGGCGTGACACAGGAGATAATGTTATATTTTATACATATTAGTTTCAATATAAAAATATAACAAGACTTTTGCCTTTTAAATTGTGTGTATTTTCATTAAGTTAAAAATATAAGTTTCTACCCGCTAGCCACAAAAACTGCAACTACTAAGCAAATAACCAACCATAGAAAACTTCTTTGGATCTAAAAAAAAAAAAAGACATTTTACATTAGTTGACTTATAAAATTGAAAATTGTTCTTGAAGTAGCTGCTGGCTTCTGATCCGCCGTCTTTTTGAAAATACAATGGTGTTGTTGTCGTCGTCATCCTCCGCTTATCTGGGTCGCGGGGGCAGCATCCCAACTAGGGAGCTCCAGACTGTCCTCTCCCCAGCCACCTCCACTAGTTTCTCCGGCAGGACCCCAAGGCGTTCCCGGACCAGACTGGAGATGTAACCTCTCCAACGTGTCCTGGGTCGACCCGGAGGCCCCCTGCCAGCAGGACATGCCCGAAAAACCTCCCCAGGGAGGCGTCCAGGAGGCATCCTGACCAGACGCCCAAACCACCTCAACTGACTCCTTTCGATCCGGAGGAGCAGCGGTTCTACTCCGAGTCCCTCCCGAATGTCCGAGCTCCTCAACCTATCTCTAAGGCTGAGCCCGGCCACCCTACCGAGGAAACTCATTTCGGCCGCTTGTATTTGTGATCTCATTCTTTCGGTCATTACCCAAAGCTCATGACCATGGGTGAGGATTGGGTCGTAGATTGACTGGTAAATCGAGAGACAGGCTTTCTGGCTCAGCTCCCTCTTCACCACGACAGATCGGCTCAGCGTCCGCATCACTGCAGACGCCGATCCAATCCGCCTGTCGATCTCCCGATCCCTCCTACCCTCACTCGTGAACAAGACCCCGAGATACTTAAACTCCTCCACTTGAGGTAGGACCTCTCTCCCGACCCGGAGTTGGCAAGCCACCCTTTCCCGGTTGAGAACCATGGTCTCAGATTTTGAGGGGCTGATCCTCATCCCAGCTGCTTCACACTCATCCGCGAACCTACCCAGCAAGAGCTGAAGGTCAGAGCTGGATGAAGCTAGGAGGCCCACATCATCTGCAAAAAGCAGAGACGAGATTCTCCTGCCACCAAACTCAACACACTCCACACCACGGCTGCGCCTAGAAATTCTGTCCATAAAGGTTATGAACAGAACTGGTGACAAAGGGCAGCCCTGGCGGAGTCCAACCCTCACCGGGAACAGGTCCGACTTACTACTGGCTATGTGGACCAAACTCACGCTCCTCTGGTAAAGAGACTGAATGACTCTTAACAAAAGGCCACCCACCCCATACTCCTGGAGTGTCCCCCAAAGGGTGCCCCTGGCAACACGGTCATAAGCCTTCTCAAAATCCACAAAACACGTGTGGATTGGTTGGGCAAACTCCCATGCCCCCTCCATCACCCTTGCAAGGGTATAGAGCTGGTCCACAGTTCCACGGCCAGGACGAAAACCACATTGCTCCTCCTCAATCTGAGATTTAACTATCAATCTGACCCTCCTCTCTAGTATCTTGGAGTAGACCTTTTCAGGGAGGCTGAGGAGTGTGATCCCCCTATAGTTCAAACACAACCTTCGGTCACCCTTCTTAAAGATGGGGACCACCACCCCGGTCTGCCACTCCACAGGAACTGCCCCCGATGACCACGCAATGTTGCAGAGACGTGTAAACCACGACAGCCCTACCACATCCATAGCCTTGAGATACCCAGGATGAATCCCATCCACCCCCGGGGCTCTGCCGCTGTGTAGTTGTTTGACTACCTCAGCAACTTCTGCCCCAGAGATTGGACAGTCCATCCCCAGGTCTCCCGGCTCTGGCTCCTCCTCGGAATGCACATAGGTGGGATTGAGGAGCTCCTCAAAGTATTCCTTCCACCGCCCGACTATAACCCCAGTTGACGTCAGCAGCTCCCCATCCCCACTGTAAACAGTGTGAGTGAGTTGCTGCCTCCCTCTCCTGAGGCGCCGGACAGTTTGCCAGAACCTCTTTGGAGCCGATCGGTAGTCTTTCTCCATGGCCTCACCAAACTCCTCCCACGCCCGAGATTTTGCCTCGGCAACTGCCACAGCTGCACTCCGCTTGGCTGTCCGGTACCCTTCTGCTGCCTCCGGAGACCCACAGACCAGCCACGCCCTGTAGGCCTCCTTCTTCAGCCTGACGGCTCCCCGAACCTCTGGTGTCCACCAGCGGGTATGGGGGTTGCCACCACGACTGGCACCGGCCACCTTGCGACCACAGCTGGCAACAGCCGCCTCAACAATTGCAGAGTGGAACAAGGCCCACTCGGAGTCAGTGTCCCCCACTGCTCCCGGGATGCGGTCAAGCTCTGCCAGAGATGGGGGTTGAAGACCGTCTTGACAGGTTCTTCTGCCAAGCGCTCCCAGCAGACCCTCACTATGTGTTTGGGTCTGCCAGGTCTACGCGGCATCTTCCCCTGCCATCTGATCCAACTCACCACCAGGTGGTGATCAGTTGACAGCTCCGCTCCTCTCTTCACTGGGGTGTCCAAAACATACGGCCGCCAGGTCAGATGATACGACTACAAAGTCTATCATCGACCTGTACCTAGGCTGCCCTGGTACCAAGTGTACCGATGGGCATCCTTATGTTCGAACATGGCGTTCGTTATGGCCAAACTGCGACTTGCACAGAAGTCCAATAATGAAACACCACTCAAGTTCAGATCAGGCGAGCCATTCCCCCCATCACACCCCTCCAGGTCATGTTGTCATTGCCCACGTGAGCATT